GATGCGGGAAAAGCACTGCGGCCGTCAAGGTGCTACACCTGCTGTGCCTTGACCCAAGTTTGGCTGACTCGCCTCCATGATCTTGCATCGAAGTCTTATTTAGATTTAGTGTTGGAAGAAATAGTGCCAATGACAGCATCGAAAAAGCGCATGGATCACATGTTCCATATTGTCGGAAACATTCGCCACATTCTGATGACCCGCAAAGTCGCCCTTCAGCCACGAAGTGACAAGGACAGAGCTGACGCCTGGCCGACACATCCTCGCAGCGCCTACACAGGTCTTGCGCGACGCACTGGCCAAGCGCCTCGGATCAGATTGCCTGCGCGTGGGCCAGGACGAACATCACAGCGATCTCATGTACGAGGAAACGGTAAAGCTCTTGGAAGAACAGAATCCCGCGATGGTGGCATTGATCGAGGAGTACGCAGCCTTACTGGAGACAAGGCCCGGCGTCTGCTTGCCCACTGTGGGTGGAAGACAAGTCTCGGTTTACCTCAAACTGCTGTCAAACATCATTCCGACAAACATCTGTTGTCTTTGTTATTGCTTGCTGTTCAGATTGAGCTTCTTTTTCCACATGCCGGAGAACATTCATGTGGTAACATGACCTAGAACTGTGAATTCCTGCCCCGATGTCCTTGTCAGGATGCCCTGGCAGCAATGGCTTGACGCTCTGGCGCAGCATCATCGGGCCGTATTCAGACTCTATTGCATGACACAGTGTGACTTCTCCGGCAAACGTGTCGTGGCGTGCACGCACGCATTCGTCTTGAAGCTTCTGGCAGGTGAAAGGCAGGGCAAGCTTGCTACTGCGGACTTCAAAACACTTAATTTGCTGTACCATTTGAGCAACCGTATGTATTCGCTGGACATTCATTTTCAGACATTAGAAAAAACTAAGGTTAGCAATGGGACCTTTCCGCAAAGCGATACCCCGTTTTGAATTCAATAACTATACAGTAATAATATTTCATGAGTGTTGGTTTTGTCACATGCTCACGACTCGTGCTCAAGGTTGAGGCTTAAGGAAAACGAAAACCAAGGAAAAGGAAAGGAAAGGTTCAGAAGCAAATGATACTGCACCCACCTGATCCTACAACAAACCGCATCGATTTTAGCGATAGCTTTGCGATGCCTTAGCGATACCCAAGCGATACCCCAGTTCTCCCAAATGCACACGATCCTCAACTACTTGTATACACTTCTACTGCTACGTCTTCTGGTTCTGCTTTGTTTCTACTTCTGCTTCTAAAACTATTTCTCATGTTCCTATGACTTCTACTACTACTATTTCTACTGCTGCTACTATTATTTCTACTCTTTGTACTATTTCTTTGGCGTCTATTACTTCTATACTACTCTATCTGCTACTGCCACTACTGTACTGCAATTTCTACTATTTACTACTTCTACTACGACCACCACTACCACTACTATACCACAAGTTCTCCTCCTCCTCCTCCCCCTACTACTGTAACTACTCCTTTCGCTACTCCTTTTGCTACTCCTTTTGCTATTCCTGTTACTATTCCTGTTACTACTCCTGCTATTAATCCTGTTGCGACTCCAGTTGCGATTCATGTTACGACGACGACCACCACCACTGCACCATGACGACGACGACGCGGCCGACAAGGACGAGGACAACGACGCGACCGACGACGACGACCGACCACAACGACGACGACGACGACGACGACTACTACTGCTACTGCTACTGCTACTGCTACTGCTACTGCTACTGCTACTGCTACTGCTAATGCTACTGCTACTGCTACTGCTACTGCTACTGCTACTGCTACTGCTACTCCTACTACTACTACTACTACTACTCCTTTTCCTCTTCCTCCTGCTCCTGCTGCTGCTGATGCTACTACTTCTACTTCTACTTCAACTTCTACTTCAACTTCTACTTCAACTTCTACTTCTACTTCAACTTCTACTTCAACTTCTACTTCTACTTCTACTTCAACTTCTACTTCAACTTCTACTTCTACTTCTACTTCAACTTCTACTTCAACTTCTACTTCTACTTCTACTTCTACTACTGCTTCTTCTGCTTCTACTACTTCTACTACTACTACTACTACCACTAGTACTACTACTACTACTACTACAACCACTATTACTACTACTGCTACTACTACAACCACTATTGCTACTACTGCTACTACAACCACTATTACTACTACTGCTGCCGCTGCTACTACTGCTATTGATCATTATCTATTGACTATTACCATATTTCCCGCTGCTATCGCCAGGATTGCGTGACTGGCCTTGCTATACGATTCTGATACTCCCAATAGCTTGGTCTAACTTTTTTTACTACCATCACCATTGCTAGCACTTCCAGTTCTCCCCGCAATACCTTGACAGTACCAATGCTAGTGGTACTACGAGTGTGACAAGTACTATTCATATCTCTTTTAGCTGCGTTCAGCCTTAGCCATACCCCCTGTAAATCCAAATGGTGCAATGATGGTAAAATTGCTACGAAACTGTGGTTAGCGATGAGACCTTTCCAAAATATTTTCATGAAGAAGAAGTTTGGACAGCCGCACATTTGTTGTTCAATGAGCAATATTTTGTGATCTTCTTCTCAGTCTGCAATACATGTTTGCCACTTGTCTTCTATACAAACCATGTTTGCTGAAACATTTACTGCACAGGACTACAGCAAAGCGGTTGTTTTCCAACACCGACATCGGGCTTCTCATCATCGACGAGGCCAACAGCCTGTTGGCGGAAGAGTTCATGGCAGCAAGCTCACGGTGTAAGGCCACGATCGCCATATACGATCCAGGGCAGAACATGCGACCGGTCGATTGGCGACCAGAAGCGTCAGAGACCGACAAGATCAACGCGGCAGACATGCTGGCCGTCAGCCGGGCTGCCAGGCCAGGTCGTCCCAGATAAACATGCAAAAGCATTGCTGAAGACGATAAATCTTTTCTTCAGGTGGTGCCCCTGCTGAGACACTGATCTAACATAGTGCCATTAAGATCACCATATATGTAGATCCGGCAAATATATTCTAATTTTCTACATATCACGATTTCTGCCATTTGCAGTGACATTTTTTGTACCGGCCTGAATTCTGAGTTGCTTTTTGTCAGATCTTCTAGCATTCGTTCTACGTTCTACCTAGCACCTACTCAGATATTCGGCCACTGTTCTAGCGGTCTATCTAATATCCACCCTCAGGAACATCTACAGCAGATATGTTGTAGCAGTCTAGCCTACATTCTTTTGAACATATCGTCTACCATTCTGACACCCATTCTGGCATACTCTCTGGCATATAAGATGACAGTTTTCGGTCATGCTCTTTAAATAGCATCTCCTGAAACTTTTTTCCGATCTATTCTAGCATTCTATCTCGCATCTACTCCAAAATGCCAATGGACACACAGCCTGATATGGCTTCGGACCTTCCAACCGAAAGTATTTATCGTTTTTTTGAGTCTCTCTTTTTTTTTATCTGACAGTCTTTTCTATCATTTTCTGTGGTTGACTTTCGGTTATATGAGTATACGACAAAATTCCCCGAATACTAAAGTAGCAAAGAGCGGACATGAACATTGCTTACCCTTACGAAAAACCTTCACAACCGATAAGGGGCCGACCCAGCACCGATACCCCTAGATTCCAACGCGTTTCCACACTACTTTGCAGTAGGGGGCTGCCTGGCGCATATTTCTAAAACAACGGCTACAGACAGTGGTATACCTTTCCTCTTAGAAAGCACCAAAAAGTTGTTTGCAGTAATTGTTCACCGATACCCCAACCGATACTAAACGATACCAGTTTTGCAGTTTTCCTCACTTGGCAAGACCATGCCCACGTACTACCACTACTCTTACTCCCACTACTCCTACTCCCATTGCTATTGCTCCTATTGCTCCTACTGCTCCTACTGCTTCTCCTGCTCCTACTCCTACTCCTTCTCCTCCTGCTACTATTACTACTATTACTACTATTACTACTATTACTACTATTACTACTACTACTACTACTACTACTCCTCCTACTCCTACTCCTACTGCTACTGCTACTCTACTGCTACTGCTACTCCTACTGCTACTGCTACTCTACTGCTACTGCTACTGCTACTAGTACTAGTACTAGTACTAGCACTACTACTATTGCTGCTGCTACTACTGCTTCTACCATTGTTCCTCTTACTCCTACTCCTACTCCTCCTCAAACTCCTACTCCTTACAGTATTCCAGCCTACTCCTACTCCTACGACTACTACTTCACTACTCCTACTACTCGTTCTATTATTACTATTACTACTACTGCTACTAGTACCATCAGTACTATTACTACTACTAGGAGGGCCTCCGAAACCCTCTGGAACGTTCCGGACCCTGCCAACCTGCACTTGGCCCTGCACCAGAGCCCTCCAGTACATTCCGCAACCCTCCATAACTTTCCAAAACCTGGGCATGCAATCCGGCACAACCTTACGGAACTTTCCGTAACCTTCCTGCACCTGCGCTTGCAAGTTGCACTTTGCCCTGCACTGGAACTTCCCGGAACCTTCCGGAACCTGCGCCTGCAACCTCCACCCCTGACCCTGCACCAGACCCCTCCGGAACCTACCGGAACCTTCCGAAGCCTGTGCCTGCCACCCGCACCGGCACACTGGAGGCTATCTGGGCTGAAACCCCATGAGCTTACGCTGTTAAGGAAAAATACCTACCAGCCAACTTCCTTGAAAGCTACCTGTACAATTTCCTTTAATGATCACAGTTTGCAACCCTTGTGCTACCCAAAGTTTCAAAACATTTCAACTTCACTTACAAGATCAATTTGAAAAAATTGCGACTCAAAGACCAGATGCCTTTGCACATTGCCAAGCAGATGCTAAAAAAACAATTTGTCAATTGTCTCTGCGGGTCAATCCTCAGAGACAATCCTGTGAGGCTCTCGCTGGACACTACCTATCGCTTGGGCGCCAGTGTTGCTCGCCTCCTGGCCAACAGCATCAGCTGCTACGAGAACCTGGTGAGCTCCGCGGGTCATGATACCGCGATCCATGTTTGGCAGCTGGCTGACACAAGGCCGGGGGACACGACAGCCCGAATTATGCCATCCCATGATCTCCACTTGTCATTCCACTGAATACACAACCGGTCTTGACGCAAGCTCTCAAAATCGTGATTTTCAAAAAAGTGACTGCCGCATCGGCACGCTGTTGCGATGCCCAGTCGACCATGTTTTTTTGCGCCTTGCATAGCGACTGGCGACAAGCCTTGAACCGAAGACCTGGTGCATATTCTGTATATGTATATGTATTGTTGTATGCATATATGTATATGTATATATGTATATATGTATATATGTATATATATATATATGTATATGCATATATGTACATGTATATTCACAAACACACACACATATATATATAGTGTTATTTCTGTATTTATGGATATTTATATGTATATATATATATTGAATAATGCATATAGATATTTACATATGAATTGGTGCAATGTCTTTCACCGCCCCCATCCCATTGGTTTTGAAGATTCCATATGTGCACGCACTCTTCCGAAATGTTGTGCACGTATCAGAGATATTTTGCACGTGTGACAGAT